TTTAGACTATAGCTCATATAAAGATATATAGGGATTTAGAGGGCTAGGTAGGGCTAAGGGGTGTCGCAAAATACAAATATTCAACCCGGTGCGTGTGGGATGTTTTGAAGATTATCTTGGTCAAGCGGCTTAGGGTAAAGAATACCATGATGATGAAACAGTCTGGACCATTGTTGGCTCAGAGAGCTCAGCAACTGCGCTCTGGGCTTGTTTTTTGCGGAGGTTATAGGAGTTGTAGACATGATTTGCGGATGTACAATTTGCAGGACATTACGGGTCCCGTCTTTGGTATTCTTGTCACTACCTTTCCACGAGGGGGTGCTATGTGGACATTTTTCGGGAACACCGAACCCCATATACCTGGGAAGGTAGCAGGCATGAGCTGGAGGATCTGTGGAGTAGGAGGATGTATAGGTTCAAGCTGAAGTGGGATTTCTCCAAGCTTGAAGCCTCCTAGGCACCTTAGAGATAGATGAGTTTACGAATGAATTGTTGGGGGTCCCGGTTAAGGACTCGCTTTACAGCCCCCCCCCAGCCATCATTGGCGGAGTAGAGGTCCTGATGCTGGCCACACAGGCAAAAGAACCTTCTGCTGGCCCCAAAACTTAGGGTTTAGGGTTTAAGGTTTAGGGTTTATGGTTTAGGGTCATTTGAAACAAACATGGGACCCAAACGGAACACAGTATTCCTTTGACAAGAAGCTATATGACAGGTTGTCAAGAATGTGGGCCCTATATTACGGCCCTTAATATTTATAATACCCTAGACAACGACGATTTGACTATATCCATATGGAGTGTGGGGGGAGGATGTAGGGTCAGTTGGTTTAAGTTTAAGGAGCATATGTAAAGGGTGCCGTTAGGTGCCATTTCAGTATCATTAGGGCTTAGGGTTCAGGATTCCAAAAAGGACCCAGAATTGTGAGACTTGCCAATTCTTGGCCCATATCCCTACTGATGATCAAGCTAGGAGTCCTTACATAGGCTACCCCAGGCAGAAGCAGGATGACAGCCCCCAGTTTAGGTAGTCACTAATTCCTAGACCCTAAACCCTAAACCCCTAACACTAAACCCGAAACCCTAGCCCCCTGTGAAGCTCCAAGTAGGCCTCCCACCTCGAAACGGCAACAAGAGTTGGCATAAATGCATCCCTACCTACATACCTCCCTGAGGCCTAGAAGTGTCAAAAATCCAGGCACCCACTTGAAACAATACCATCCTCTAGGGGTTGGGGTCTAGGATTTAGGGCTTAGGGTTTAGGGCTTAGGGTTTAGGGTTTGGGGTCCCATTAATCCAGGCACCCACCTGAAACAATACCATCCCCGAGGGCTGTTAAATAAAGGGACTTTCATGGGAACTCCAAAACAGGAAACTCCAAGAATATGGGGGGGAATATGATAGAATATAAGGACTCTAATGGGGACATTCCTATTATATTCCTACTATATGCTTGGGGTTCCCTGTTTTGGGGTTCCCATTAAGGTCCCAGTATGATAAGTTCGATTCTACAAGTTACCATCATAAGGAAGACCAGATTGTTCGCAATATCCATAGCTGAACCCTAACCCTATACAA